GATTTTCAGAGAGTCCAACTACAGCTGGCCTGAAAACAGGATGTCCACAACTCCCACAGCCTATAGGCACCTCACACCCTCCATCCCACAGCTCAGGGGTGCCCCACACCCTCTGTCCCACAGCCCAAAGGTGCCCCACACCCTCCACCCCACAGCCCAGGGGCGCCCCACACTCTCAGCTCCTGGACCCTCTTGGCCAGGTCCGTCCGTAGAGGTCGGCTCCTTGGGGAGGGCTGGTGTCCACAAGGCCAATTCCGTGATTTTGGTAGCTTTCCATTTTGGAACAACAGTTACTAATTCTTCCTCCTCTTCCTCTTCTCCTCTTTCCTATTTTAAGTGCAAAAATGTACATTTACCAACATTTGTGTCATCTTGGTCTGGAATATTAAAAGTGAGGGAGGAAGGACAGGTTTTGAAAGACAGGTTTTGGCTTGTGTTTCAGCCTTTTTAGGATGTCACTCAGGAATCAGACCAGTTGCCGACTATCCATGGTATAATCTCAGGGTTGAGAACGGATCTCGAAAGAGCCAGGGTGAGAAATATAAATGTACATATAAAACCATAATCTAAAAAGAAACAGGGTGTGAACCATGGGCTGCAGCTTGGCAACCCCTACTCTAGAGGGTATGCATCCCCTTACCAGGGAAAGAGAACACGGAGGCTCTTCTGTTCCACCACCATCCTAATCCATCCCCACAGCACAGTGGGTGGCCTTCGACAAAGCCCTCAGGTTGCTGCTGCATTATTTCATGGGTGGCTTTTCCTAAACAGCAACAGGGCTTGAGGCTTATATCAGTAATTCTCCCTTAGATGTTACTGATGCTCTTTCTACCTTCCTCTCATCATCCTGAAATACTGACTTCTAGGAACTTTTTCCAGTAGAGTCTAAAGCTGCAAAGCACTTAGTAAGATGGGCTTTATTTTTATCACTGCACAAATTTAAAAACTTTCTCAATCACCGGTAAACCTAAACAGTTATTACCAGTGCTGACAATATATCCATTTAACCAATAGGTTCCTTCAGGGAACAGGTGAGAGGTGTCCAACCCCATGGAAATCCCAGCAAAAGACTAAATACATTCCTGTCACAATCGAATCCTAAAGCTGACTGTCTTTCTTAAGCTTCTGACTCTGTGTGTAAGAGGTTACACACACACACACACGTAAATGGAGTGGAACCTCGGGGGAGGACAGTATGTCAAATTCCTCTATGTTTTGTAAGATGCAGATGACTTATAGGAAGCTGCCGTCCACCCAGACCAGAGCACCCTGCGGTGCATGAAGAATCCATACTCGGAGGAGGTAGGGCCTCATACTTAGCAACAAAATCAAGCATTTTGGCCATTTCATTTTCTGATTTGCTAGGGACCTGCCCCTAGCCAGTGGTTCCTTTTAGCTGGAGCAAAGCAGGAGAAGCAGCAGCAAAGAAGACAGGGCACTGTGAGGCCACACAGGATTCTGGTCACAGCCAAGAAGGCGGACCGTGAGCAACCACGGGCTGTTTTGGGAAACTAAATAACCGTGGCCAGAGTGATGTGCAGAAAGCAGAACATCGCAGGAGCAGGAATCAGGAAAAGAGGGTGGCTGAGGTCAGGGCCGAGAGTGCCCTGGGGCTGTCCAGACTCTGGCCACTCGGGAGGCAGCAACCGAGCATGGACAGACAGTCACTCGATCATGGGAGGTTGCGGGATAAAGATTCAAAGACTCCCTTCGGTTTTAGAATCTAACAGACTCTAGGAAGAAAAACGAGAAAAGTTTATAAAACTGTCTGGAGGGCTGGGCACAGTGGCTCACGCCTGTAATCCCACCACTTTCGGAGGCTGAGGCAGGCAGATCATCTGAGGTCGACAGTTTGAGACCAGCCTGACCAGTACGGAGAAACCTCGTCTCTACTAAAAATACAAAATTAGCTGGGCGTGGTGGCACATGCCTGTAATCCCAGCTACTCGGCGCGGGGGTAGGGGGCCAAGGCAGGAGAATCGCTTGAACCCGGGAGGTGGAGTTTGCGGTGAGCCGAGATCGCGCCATTGAACTCTAGCCTGGGCAACAAGAGCGAAACTCCATGTAAAAAAAAAAAAACTGTGGAGAGCACTGAATTGAAAAACTGGTGATGAGTTAGGCTTAGGATTCCAGGCCAGGGCCCTTGGGGTGAAAGGATGGAGCACTAGGTAGAGACAGCAGTGGGCGGCACGGAGCAGGTGCAGGACAGACCCTCGTGCACAGGATCTCCCGAAGCCTTCCAAGCTCCCCGCAGTGTGACGTCTACCTCCTGTGACCAAGGGGGGCCTTCCCCAGCCTCACAGCCAACCCCAAGGTGACGAGGAGTCGGTTTAAAGCAGGGCCTCTGGGTGATGCCAAGGGGTTGAAGAGGGACACAGCAATGAGAAAACAAAACGAGATGACTCGGCTCAGGTTGCGGCACAGTTTGGGTGTCTGTCCCCTTCAATTCCCATGTTGAAATGTGACCCCCAGGGTTGGAGGTGGGGCCTGGTGGTAGGTGCTTGAGTCAAGGGGGCGGATCCCTCATGAATGGTTTGGTGCCCTCCCTGTGGTGATGAGTGAGTTCTTGCTCTATTAGTTCACATGAGAACTGGTTGTTAAAAAAAAAAAAAATTCCCAGCACCTCCTCCCCTCTCTTTTCCCCCTCTTTTGAGCTGTGGTGCCAGCTCCCCTTCACCTTCCATCACGAGCGGGAGCTTCCTGAGACCTCCACAGAGGCCAGGCGGTTGCTGGCGCCATGCTTCTTGTACGGCCTGCAGAACCATAAACCAAATAAACCTCTCTTCTTTATAATCTACCTAGCTTCAGGAATTCCTTTATAGCAGCACAAAAAGGACTAACCCAGGTTGAAAGGGCACTGATGTGATGGTGGGCCCCAATAATCCGTTCCCCAGCTTTCTTCAGAAAGGAAGTATGCAGATATGGGAGACTTTGTGTACAATAATATATTCTTAACTCACTAGGAAGGGACGCCTCGAAAACTTCAGAGACCAAAAAGCAAACAAAAGCATGATTCCACACGTGTGTCTGCCAGGTTCATGCTCCTCCTTAAAACTCAAAACTTCTTATCATGAGAATGACCTCAGCTAAAGAAATAAGTCAAAAGGATCAAAACCAGCACCAGGGTCAGGAAAGGTTACTGAATTGCTAATTATCTACAGGGATTGGTCAGACATTAATAATGAGAGGAACAGGAACACAGATATTCCCACCTCAACACACATACACATATCTTGATGCCTTATAATGGCAATATTAGCTGACTAGCTTTACTATCGACCAGGGAATGCCAATGTAGTGTTTTTTTGTTTTTTTTTTTTTTGAGATGGAGTCTTGCTCTGTCGCCCAGGCTGGAGTGCAGTGGCGCGATCTTGACTCACTGCAAGCTCCGCCTCTCCGGTTCACGCCATTCTCCTGCCTCAGCCTCCCGAGTAGCTGGGACTACAGACGCCTGCCACCTCACCCGGCTAGTTTTTTGTATTTTTTTAGTAGAGACGGGGTTTCACTGTGTTAGCCAGGATGGTCTTGATCTCCTGACCTCGTGATCCACCCGTCTTGGCCTCCCAAAGTGCTGGGATTACAGGCTTGAGCCACCGCGCCCGGCCTAATGTAGTGTTAATATTAATGTTAGATACTGGAAAGGAAAAAAAGAGAGAAAGAGTTACCAATGGCACGTTCAGAGGAGCGTGCCACACACCGGACAAGCTAACAGCCATTGGACAAACTGTGGCAACACCAGTTACAGATTCAGTTGTCACTTCTGGGACCTAATGCTATTTAGAACCCTCCCACTCAGGGTTAGTTTATTTGTTGTTTGTTGTTTGTTTTTGAGACAGAGTCTCACTCTGTCACCCAGGCTGGAATGCAGTGGCGTGATCTTGACTCACTGCAAACTCCGCCGCCCAGGTTCAAGCGATTCTCCTGCCTCAGCTTCCTGAGTAGCTGGGATTACAGGCGTGCACCACTATGCCTAGCTAATTTTTGTATTTTTAATGGAGACAGGGTTTCATCATGTTGGCCAGTCTGGTCTCGAACTCCTGACCTCAAGCAATCCACCCACTTCGGCCTCCCACAGTGCTGGGATTACAGGCGTGAGCCATTGTGCCCAGCCAGGATTAGTTTCTATTGACAAAAACGGTATCTATCAACAAAGTCTAGAGTTCTGCAATAACTGGGAAATGATATTGTTTGCTTCTGGCAATTTAGTTCTGTACTAACACATGCAACCAAGGAAAATGAAAATGGGAAAGTTCCTAAGAGTTGGCAGAACTTTTAGGCAAATCACCTCCAACCTTGTAGGATCAATAGTTTTGAGCAGCTACCTGCCTGTTAATGTAAAAACCCCATACATGCTTTGCAACTTACCATATCTGTTAAACGATATTCACCATGTTGTTCACACCCAACATCAAATATATACTTTCCAGGGCCAACAGGCTGCGAGCAAAGAGAAACTATTCTTAAATGTCAACACCCAGCAGAAAATACAAAATAAAAATGTCACCACCACAATACCCACCTCAAATCACAAAATTGGGTAAAGTCTAACATGGATTAAAGAATGCTTTTATGAACGCATGGCTAATGGAATTGGGAAGTATGTGCCCTGTTTTGTTTACTTTTGAAAACTTTAACCACATTTTACTTTTTTATAAAAGTGCTGTATTCATTTTCAGAAAACCTCAGTGAGTCAGCATCCACAGGCAAACTAGCTAGAGATGGAACTACTACTAATATGTTGATGCATTCTTTGTAACTTTGCTTCTAGTGTACATTGTTAAATAAAAATCTGATCATAATTGTACATACTAACTCACACTCTATTTTTACTGAGAAATAGGGCATGAACTACTTCTCATATTTACAAATATTCTTTCCTAACACCAGTTGCCACCTGGTATTTTATTTCATCTATGGATTGTAACCTATTTTACTCAGTTACCATTGCTGGTATTTGGGATACTGATTTTTTTTTTTTTTTTTTTACAAAGAACCAACTTTATGTACGCTTTTGATACCGTTCTTAAATTCTCAGAATTTCTGGACAAAAGCATACATGTATTTTGATTAGATGAGGCTCTGATCACTTCATTCCCACAACTGCACTTAAGAGTCCCAGATCCTCAAACTCTTGATTTTAGGAGTGTAAAAATTTTCTATTTTTACATGTTTTTTAAAAAAAAAAATGGGGTCTCACACTTTTAATTCACTTCATTTCAGTTGTTAGTAAGCCTGCATTTTTTTCAACATTTTTAGCCATTTAAATCACATTGATTGATAAAACACTTTATATATTAAACGTTGCAAATATTCTCTTCCATTTGACAGTCATCTCTCAGATTTTCTTTACAGCATTTTCTAATCTATAAGAAGTTATTTTTATGAAGCTAAACTTACTGGTTTTTCCTTTCTATTTCTGTTTAGAAAGTTCTCTTTCCTCATTTCAACGTTAATATTCATCGACATTTTTTTCTATATTTCCTAGGGTACACTTAAGTCTTTACTTCTTCTGGAAAGTATCTTCATCTGTGTGAAGGCAAAACTATTATTTTCCTCCCAAATAATTATCAAGAGTTCCTAGCACTATGTCTTGACTCCTCCCATCATCCCTTTATTAATTTGACATCCTTATTGTGTGTGAAATTATTTTATGTACTGGAACCTGTCTCTAAACTTTCTAATTTGCTTCATCAGTGTGTGTGTGTGTGTGTGTGTGTGTGTGCATCCTGGTATCACACTGTTTTAATTATTGGAGCTTTGTAGTACTGATAACTTGTCCACAAGGACATGTACAGGGAATTTTCTGAGGAAGACACACAAACCAGCAATAAACGGGTGACAAGATGTTTGACCTCACTAGTAATCGGGGAAGTACACATTAAAACAATGAGATGACATTTTTTACCCTTAAGATTGGAAAAAAACAAAAACAACATTAAAGACTGAGAATATCCAATGCTGATGAGAATATATGCCAAAGAGACTCATATTCTATTGGCAAGAGGATTAACTGACACCAGTTTTTAGGAAAACGGGCACTACCGATTGTGATTTTAAATGCCAATCCTCAAAGGTTTCACAATTCCATTATCTAACCTACATAATAGTCTCAAATATGCAAAATGACAAAGATGTATCTTTATGTATATTTTTGTATCCCAATACAGTATGATCCTAATTATGTAATTAAAACCCCCAAACAATAATTCTGTGTCAGATGACTGTATTAGAATGTACTTACATGACACACAGAAATAGCACGGAAGGATTGGGCCCAGGGCAGTGGGGCAGGATCCTCGTGTTTAAATGCTTTACAATTGAAATGTACTTGTGTATTATTTGTATAATTTAAAGTTTTTTACTAACTAGCAAAGCCAAGCCTCCATTTTAACCCTGGTTTTTCAGACTGGTTTAGGCTGGACAAGCTGATTGATTCTTCCAGATTCATTTTCATCAAATTCCCTTCCTCTGCAACCACCTTCCCATCTCCTCCAAAAAGACCCATAAAAATTTGCTGGGAATTATATAAACAATGTGTGGGTTTGAGGGGAATGTGCTGTTTTAATGAAGACTAAAAGTAAAATCTGTGGTTAGGGCATGAATTATATATAAATGAAAACTGGGTTCTAAGAGTCTGAAGAGACTTCATTAAATCAGCTAAACATTCCCTCTGTCAACTTCTAACACCACCAATTTGTTCGCAAATTCTCCCTTCAGGGAAAGTTTCTGCTCAACCCCTGATCAGAGCTGCCACAATGGCCTGAGTATTAGCTTCTGAATTATTCAAGGTTTCTCTGTACAAGAAGGGCAAGAGGAACCACCAAGTCTTCCGAGCAGAAACGGCCCACCGTGGGTGCTGGAAGCTGGCAAGCCTCCAGACCCAGGGCCAGGCCCTCGGCAGCCTCAATTCCCACCACGACTAGGAGCATGCAGGCTGGCCTGCAGCACGAGGAGGGAGCTGGGGGTCTTCCTCCCCAGGGATGGCGCACCACCCCTTCCAGAGAAACAAAACACAAACCCCTCTGTGCTCAATTGCAGGAAACAGATATTTGGTATCTGATTTACCGATGAGAAGGAATACACACAAGAGGTTCCGATGCCCCCACGTGTTCTATAACAATGCAACAGGTCCCCGCTGAAAGACAGTGGGAGTTTGTACTGAGACCCAGAGAAATGGGCCAAACCCTCCCTCCCCCCAGTTCTGTCCTCTGTGGGTACCAGAGGCTCAGAGAATGGCACAGCTGTCTTGTTCCCCACATTTGAATAGGCTGGACTCAGTTTTCTCTGAGTTTTTAGTATTCTCTGGTCACACATTTGCACAGGCTGCCAGAGGGGGTTATTTTGGACTTTATTGGCAAATGTCACTTCCCATGGACTTACATTTTTGTTCAAGAACTTGCCCTGGTACCTGTGGTTCAGGTGAATGAGCTCGGCCGCGCCCTCCTGCTGTCCGTTCACCCAGGTGCCAACATACTTACTGCCCGTCTCTGCGTATAAATAGGTGCCTTGCCCGTGCCTGGTTAAGACAAGGGGAACATGGTATTTTGTTCCAGCACAGTGAAAAATCTCCCAGGTTTAAAACACAGACATTGACATTGAGGGGGGCCCAGGCTGATGCAGGCTCAAGAGCGATGTAGCTTCTGTATCTGTGTCCAGTCAGAAGGTGCCCCCTGTTCAGTGTGCCCCAAGCACAGGACATTGCCAGAGGCACAGAGGACAGGCCAGCTGGACAGAGGCAAGCCTCTGTGTGTCGGCCGCTTTCCCCAGGGAAGAGGCAGAGCTAGTGGGAGCTGCGGCTCAGGTTCCCCAGTGGCTCTTCTGGTTCAGGTTCCCCTAGGGCTCTTGAGTGAAAGACTCATGTGCTCAGCCCCAACTGAGGTACAGATATCAGTTACTTAAGTCTACACCTGCACAGAAAGGCATCCTTGCCTCAAAGCCATAGGAAGATTGGACCTGCCTGGCAGAGTTGGTAACTGGGCTTTTGTTATGATTCTGTTCCTTAATAAGTGTAAACAATCTGCAGACATCATGTTCTCACTACATAAGCAAATCCCATAAGACTCAAGAGAGAAACCGAACCTTTGGTGAGTAAACCACTCTCCGGTGTAGGTGTCATTATTGACGTAGTAGTATACACCGTGGCCGTGCCTCTGGTCGTTTGCCCACTCTCCTGAAAGGAACAACACAAAGGCAAGCCCAGGTGAGAAGAAGGGATCGATGCCCTGTCTTCAAACTGTTAACCATGGCAGAGGTGGATGTGTTGTGAAGCAAATGAAGCTACATTCAGGGCCCCATGCACACACAGGCCCCTTCTGCTCAGGAAACCCTGCAGAAGAGAGACTTTTAACAGCACCGACCAAGGCTGCTGTCTGTTTCCACTCTAATGTCCCTCCACTTCTCTTCCTTTTGTGCCAGATGGCATGGGTGCTGAGCCACGGTGGAGAGTGGGCTAAGGGAGGGCTGAGTCAGGCGTTCACGGGGTACAGGTAGAGTGAGGTGTGTGGATGTGGGCCACAGCCACCTGCATGTACTAACAAGCACAATTCACAGGTTAGTCAGAAGCACCACGAAGACACAACAAGGAGGGAGAAAAACCAGGGTTGTCTGACCCATTGCCAGTGATCCTAACACCACACTTCATTTACCTTGCAAATGTTTAGTCATCCAGCAACAACTCTAGGGCTTGATCGTCTATCCTCAGCCACCTGCCAGCATTTCAGTCTATCTCCCACCCAATCATCTGGCTCCAACGTGCCACCCTAACCCCAGCTGCACAGCAGCTCCATCCGCCGGTGCCATGCCATGGCTGAGCCATGCCTCTTCCCTCACCTCCTCACCTCCATACAGGCTTCTGCTAAGTCCTTAGAGGCGTGGTAGGAAGTACTGAAATTGGCAAGGAGATCATAAAACTCATAACACTACTCCACAATGCAGACAACTGCAAACTACTGTTGTCAACCACAGTATGAATCCCTGCACTAGAAAACTCAAAATGTCCTAAATCTTACAGCTCACATATGAAAGAAAATTAATAGAGGTCTCCCAAAGGAGACATCTCTTAAAAACGTGCATATTACACCAAGTCATTAAGCTAAATGATACGTTTTGAGACTATGAATAATAAAAAGCAAGTGTTGATCAATTTATTGATCAAAGAGAAAAGAAGGAATTATATTTGTATTCTCTCTATAGAAAACATTACAAAATGGTTGCCATATGGAGAAGCATTCAAAGAGTATTAGCTAATAAAAGGTAGAGAAAAGCTATTCTAGAAGTATGTTAGACATTAAAACTCAGGCTACTTAGATTCTGTGATGTTTGTGGTATTTTTAAATTTTTAACTTATTTTGATTTATCATTACAAATGAAAATTCACTTTTATACCAACTTTATATTTTGTTTTTCTTAAAGAGGGTTCCCAAAATGTATATAAGCTTCTGGCTTACACAAAAACTGGACCTACTTCCACATGAAGATAAAGAATACCCAATAGGCTAAGAAAATGCTAATTATTCAAGCAATATTTGTTTACGTGAATAACCCCAAAATTTACCTACAGAAGGAATTTCTACATATTTATTTCCTCAATCATTCCAGTATTTACTCAGCACCTACAATGTCCTGTGCACTTTGTGAGATGAACAAACAGCTGTACAAAGGACAGTGCATGTCCCCAGGGCGCCAGCACCAGCCTGGGGATGGGAGGTTGGCACCTGAGCAGCAGCCGAGGACAGGGAAGGCAGCACAAAAAGCTACATGGCACAACTTCAAAAAGTGGGTAGTCATTCAGAAAAGAGCAGACTTACCAAAAATTCATAGAGGGAAGGTGGCAACCGCTAACAATTAAGGAAGAGGACTAGGCCCCATGATGTGATGTGTGACAGGAACAACATGAACAAGAGAGATGAAGATCTCCAAATTGAGATAATTCGGTAAAAAATACTTCAGGTCCCTGAACCTAAAGTAACCACAAGGATGTGCAAATACCTAGAGGGATTTGTCTGGATCTTAAGGGGCAGTGATGTGCCTGGATTTGTAGCATTTGCCAGTTTCTGTGGTGTAAATACTCACACTGTGGCCAATTTCAAGCTACACATGGAGCTGGGAAGAGATGCATAGAATGGGTTTTTGTGAGCTATTATGAAGTGGTTCCAGCACAGCCCTGGGGCACAGAGACCTCAGCTGAAACAGGTACATCATTTGGTTTCTTCCCAACAAAAGATCATGACAACATTATTATATCCCTCCTCTCTTGGCCATGTCAGAGGGTCTCCAGGGTGTCATTGCAAGAAAAATATATTATATATTTTGCAGAAAATTTTCAAAAATAAAAGAGAACGATAATGTTGCAAAAGACACTAAGTTTTGCACCATGAGGACTGTGAGCAAAATTTTTTAAAGTCCCAATCTACTTAAAAAACCTGTTAAGAGGCTCTGCCCAGCATTTTGTAATGCCACCACAGGGACCCTGCACAAAAGGAGAAGGTAATTCAGAGAAAAGTCACCTGCTGAGGCACATCTCTAACAGCTATGAGTCAAGTTTCCTTTTTTGAGGTGAATGACATTTATAAACTTTATTATCGTGGCTTTAAATTTGCACTTAATTTTTTTTTTTAAGTCTTTCTACCCCAATCCTATACTTTCTGATCATTCTTAACCTTGTCAATTGAGGTTTTTTCCAACTATATTTCTCTTCAGGAGTAACTCCCACAGTTGGTTGGTTGGTTGGTTGATTGGTTAACTGGTTGGTTGGTTGGTTGGTTGATTGGTTGGTTAACTGGTTGGCTGGTTGGTTGGCTGGCCGGTTGGTTGATTGGTTAGTTGGTTAACCAATTGGTTGGTTGGTTGGTTGGTTGGTTAACTGGTTGGCTGGTTGGTTGGCTAACTGGTTGGCTGGCTGGTTGGCTGGCTGGCTGGTTGGTTGGTTAGTTGATTAACCGATTGGTTGGTTGGTTGGTTGGTTGGTTGGTTGGTTGGTTGGTTAACTGGCTGATTGGGTAGTTAATTGGTTGGCTGGGTGGTTGGCTAGTCAGTTGGCTGGTTGGTTGGTTTGTTGGCTGTTTGCTTGGCTGGTTGGTTGGTTGGTTGGTTGGCTGGCTGGCTAGTTGGTTGGTTGGTTAGATGGTTCGTTGGTTAATTGGTTGGTTGGCTGGTTGGTTGGTTGGCTAGTCAGTTGACTGGTTGGGTGACTGGTTGGCTGTTTGATTGGCTGGTTGGTGGGTCAGTTGGTTGGTGTGGAGCTGGGTGCTCCTCAGGTAGAGCAGTGTGTCTGGCACTTGGGATTGAAGACAATTTAAAATGAGAAGCTCTCCAAGATGCTCCTCCCACTTCAAATGCTGGTTGATCACTGGTGTGCCATGCTGGCCCATGGTCTTGCCAAGCTGGCTCCCTACACTGCTGGGTAAGTCAAACACAGGAGAGAAGAAGCCCACACTTATGGGGAAACACGCAGTGTCAGACCCTGGGCAGGGTTCCGTGCACTTGCCACAGCATTTGGTATGTGTAATAGCTGAAATACGGTTTTACAGATGCAGAACCTGAAAAGCAGAGAGACTGTATGCATTGCCCAAGGTCCCACAGCTGGTGGGTAGCACGACTGAAATGAAAATTGGAGTCTGTCTGATTCTAACACCATGCTCTCTTCTCCACAAGCATCCCAAGAGTCAAGCACTCATTTTTCCAGCTCCTGCCATTTGAGAGCTTCCAAAAAACCCAGCTTCAAGTTATCATATCATTCTCGTTTCTCCACAATGTCATTATCAAACTTCTGTGTTTTGATGAGTTCTGTTTGACAGGTAACAAGGCCAGGAGGGAACAGCGATGCTCTTTCTCCTCCTTAACCTCAGAGTCCTCAGCTGGCCCTAAACCCCCAGCCCTCAGAATCAGTACATGGGGTCCAGGCCTCCCCAACATCTGGCACCCACTCTCCCCTCCATCTCATCTCCCACTACCCCTAAAAACCTCTCCCTTCCTGCCTGTATCCAAGTCACCCACCACCCAGGACTGTCTCCCCGCTCCTCTCCTGCAGCACTGTAGCCTCTGCTGGTTCCTGGATTCCCTAATTGGACTTGTCTGACCATCTGGGAGACAGGTAGGGTACTGGGCTTTAGGCCGCAGGGTTCTGACGTTGAACACACTGACCTGCACAAAACCATTCTGGCCCATTGTGATGGCAGCCAGCCAAGATACACTGTTATGAATAACTCAGTCACACATTAACTGAGATTTTGTGATTGGAAGAGTATTGGCTTACTATGTTACAATCTGACCTCAGTTTCCATTACTGCCTTAATGAAGTAAGATACTTATTTAAGCTTTTGTCAAAGAGTAAGTCTCTGGGTAGTGGCTATACCTTGCGCCCTTTAAGATACAAAGCCATCTGGAGAATCAAAAATCCCAACTGTTACCAGATGAGCTTTATATGTTAGCGTGGCATAATAAAGAAATATTGGTCTTTATTCATGGTTCCCAGCACAGAGCTCCTAAAACCCTTGAAATTTCCTGACTGATAGAAATGTTTTTGTCAGTCAAAATGAGACTTTTTTGACCACACCTGAACTTATGCAAATGAGGCTCAGGATGGCCTGAAGATGGGACTGAACACCAGAAAGACCAAGTGATAAGAAGGTTGGAACCTCCAGCCCCACCCACCAACTCTGGGGAAGAAGAAGGAAGGGGCTGGAGATTAAGCTCTATAAAAACTCTTGAGCAAGATTTGATGAGCTTCTGGGGTGGTAAACGTATCATGAGCCAGGAGGATGGTGCATGCCACCTCCACAAGGACAGAAACTCCTATGCTTGGGAACCTTCGAGGCCTTTCCCTGTGTACCTCTGCATCTGGCTGTTCGTCCATATTCTTTATAGTATTCTTTACAGTAAACCAGTAAACCTAAGTAAAGTGTTTTCCTTAGTCCTATGAGCCACTATGGCACATATCAAACCTGAGTAGGGTATTGTAGGAACCCCCAATTTGTAGCTGAGTCAGATAGAAGCACGGGTACCCTAGGGATCCACAACTTGATGTTGACATCTGAAGTGAGGCAGTCTTGGAAACTGAGCCCTTAACCTGTGGGGTCTGTGCTAACTCTGGGTGGTGTCAGAATGGAGTTGCATCATTGGAAACTCAGTTGGTGTACACAGAAGACTGGAGAAGTACATAGCATGGAAAATCCATGCATTTGGTGTCAGAGAAACAGTTACCCCTTTTAAACCTTCATATTCAAAATTCCTTAAATCCCTTATTCTAAATATCTTCGTGTGTGTGTGTTGTTCAAATTATATCGATATCTACACTAAAATCAAAAGGGACAAGAATGAGATTAGGTGCATAAGAATTTGGAAAGAGTTAAATTAAACCCCAAATTAAATTGTTTAAAGTTGATTTAAAAAGCAGATGGTGCTTCTTATAGAGCAAGCCTTCTGGGATTTATGAAACAAAACAAAACAAATTCTGTCTAACAGGGACGATATTAACACCCTCCATCGTGGTTTCAGAATTGGACAGAATCATCACTGACATCTATTAAAATAAGAACCACCTACTGGTTCTTATTTTATCTAGGAGCAAAGCAAGCAACTATAGCTTGCACTTTCTAAGAATATGTCCTCCTCACTAAGAAGTGATGCTGTCACACGTGGTACCTCACAGTCCTAGCCTGTTACTGAGCGCTCACTATGGATCAGGCACAGTTGCAGATGCCTCACCATGCTACAGAGGAGAAAGCTGAGGCAAGGTCACACCTATTGTCACCAGAGTACAAGGACAGGGCCACAGATCTTTCTGGAAATCTGAAGAAAACTATACAATTTCCTTCTTCCTAGGGAAAAAACAAAAAGCCCAGAACACAGAATTTTGCATACACTTTCTGAAGACTCACAGCAGTTCCCTGCTTGTCCCCCTTCCCAGGTTTGGGATATCACTAATGTGTGATCACACCAGGTGACAATGGCACAAGGGGCAGCAGGGAGGCTCTTGGAAATAAAGGAAAAAGAATCCTCCTCAAACATAACATTGGCCTGTAAGGAATTACGGCACAGATAGGAAAAGTCAGTTTAACAAGGCAGGACAACTCCCAGACAGGAAGCCCTGATGTAAGGAAACACTGGAGTTAAACAAATGACACATCCGTCAGATGCGGGGTTGGTCAGAAATGGAAAATGCAAAGACAGGTTCAGGAAGATGAATGCCGCAGAGCAGCTGAAGCCGTGGGTCCACCAGCTCCGAGGCCTGCATCCACCCAGCAGCCTCCCTTTTGTCTGCTCCCAGAACATGGACATGCTGGCCACAGGGACAGATTTCCCACTACAGATTCATTAGTGAGTTAATTAATTACAAGGCTTTCATGTTTCTGCGTCAATCCTGTGAATATAGTAACACAATCTGTTCGTTGAATGACTAATCTGGAGCACTTTCAGCTTTCTCATACATGTCAGTATTCACAGACAAGTTCAATCATAAAGAAACAAAAACAAACTTCTGCAACACAAAAATCTGCTTAGTGATAACATTTTACCTTCATATCTGGATCCATCTGGATATATAAAAGTGCCTTGACCGTGCTTTTTATTTCTAAAATATTCTCCGATATATCGAGCACCATTTTTAAATTTGTAGGTCCCCTGAAACACATTGATTATATCATTCATGTCATTGCTGAATGTAGCATTTACTAACAGAGCATTAAATAGAGAAAACCATCCAGTCAAGTCAACGGTTCTGACCTGGCCATGTCTTTTACCGAATTCGTAGCTCCCTTCATAGGTGTCCCCATTAGGTAGCCGCGCCTTCCCGCGTCCGTGCCTTTCGCCTGCCTCATTCCGAGCCCCCTCATATTCCTGGGTAATGAAAATTGACACTATTACAGCTACCATTCATTATGCGCTAACCAGATGCTAAGCATTTTATAAATATCATACCCTTGAATCATCCCACTATACTAAATCCTTGGCACTATACTCAGTTGTCCCACCTTTCCCACCTTACAGCTGAGGTAGGTAACCACGCCTGGGCTAGGTGAGGCACTGGTCCAAAGCCACACCCCAGCACATGTCCAGGGCGGAAGCCTCATTCCCTCCCTCCAGCAAGGAGCTTGCAATCACTGTGATAATCCTTTACCCTGTAAACAAGGTTAACCAATTTGTGAAAAATGCTAGATACTCTAAGCTGTGTTTTTAGGAGGAACATGCTTGAAATAGCACTTGCAGGTAGAATAGTTCCACACAAAAATACCTCCCCATTTGCTTCCTTCAGTAATCCACGATTTCAAAGGCAAATGCCCTGAGAGAAGCAACTCTTCCCTCAAATGATCCCTGGGGTGGGGTGTGGCCTGAAGAGACCTTTGCCCTGCGAGGAATATCTGATGGAAGGGTCAGGTAGGAGTGCACTGAGGAGTACACAGGGCTCTCTTGTCGATTAAGGTTATCTTATTTTTAAAATCCCTAGCGAGAGACTTAAGGTTCAAACACTCATGACCCAATGCTGCAATAATTACATACCTATCTATGGTTTGTTTTTGTTTTTGTTTTTGTTTTTGTTGAGACAGGGCCTCACTCTGTTGCCAAGGCTGGAGTTGGCACAATCTCAGCTCACTGCAACCTCTGCCTCCCAGGCTCAAGTGATCCTCCCACCTCAGCCTCCTGATAGCTGGGACTAGAGGCATGCACCACCATTCCCAGCTAATTTTAAATCTTTTTTTGTAGAGACAAGGTCTCACTATATTGCCCTGGCTGGTCTCAAACTCCTGGACTCAAGCGATCCTCCCACTTTGGCCTTCCAAAGTTCTGGAATTACAGGTATGAGTCACCATGCCAGCTCAATTATGTGTCTATCTTAAAAGTAAATCAATAAAAAATGTAACCAAAGCTTGCAATTTTCCTATCCTTCAGAAAATAAATTCCTTACCACCTAATACATGGGTATAGAGTGAATGTAGTAAATAATAACATGCTGAAAGCATCCAGTAATGATTTAACACAGGTATCTCATATCACACTGTATTTCTTAAATATACATAATAAAATTTATTAAAAATTAAAATTAAAAATGGAATTGGATGTATATAATCTTATTATAACACAAGTACTGACACACTACAATGAGGACTTTAGAAATAAATGTCTGTTCAATTCTTTCCCTTTTCTAGCACTGTTTGGCCCACTAATTCCTGCCTAGAATATAAGATAAAAATCGGTGACCTTACAGATTTGTTTCAGGGTTAGTTTACATCAAAATGTATAAAAGTCCCCTCCTTCCATCCAAGAGGCTTCCCAATACATCCAACACTGAGCCGCTGGGGTGGCTGAACGAGAGAGAAATCCTTTAAAATGAGCCCAAATGTGATCTGAACCTAAAAATTATAGGCAGTAAAAAGTTACAAATTCAGTGGGGTCATTTGAGGAGATAAACTAGAAAGCTTGTTTGTCTGTGCAAGTGTTACAGGTTGGGCTCACCTAGAGGCAGACCCTGAACAAGCGATTTTTTTTTTTTTTTTTTTTGAGACGGAGTCTCGCTCTGTCACCGAGGCTGGAGTGCAGTGGCGTGATCTCGGCTCACTGCAACCTCTGCCTCCCGGGTTCAAGCCATTCTCCTGCCTCAGCCTCCCAAGTAGCTGGGATTACAGGTGCCTGCCACCACGTCCAGCTAATTTTTTGTATTTTAGTAGACACAGGGTTTCACCGTGTTGCCCAGGCTGGTTTCGAACTCCTGAGCTCAGGCAATCCGCCCACCTCGACCTCCCAGAGTGCTAGGATTACAGGCGTGAGCCACTGCGCCTGGCCTGATTTTTTTCAGCGCTGTCCTGGGAGAAAGTAGTAAAGAGGGCAGGGAAGAAGACATGAAAGGGCAGGCAGCTAAGGAAGGATGCTATTGCAGGTGAAGTCCCAGAGTTGGCCTAATCCAGCAGGCACTCTAGGGGCATCAATTGCACTGCAGACTTTGTCCTGCTTCTTGCACTAGCTACTGGCTGTCTGGCTGGATGTGAATTTCAGGCACTTCTGGCTCTCCATACTGGGCAGGTAGTTCCAGTGCACAGAAGTGGTAGCTGAGCACCAAATCAGGCAGAAGCTAGGAGATGAGTGCCCAGAGCTAGCAAAAAGGTCTGGGCAGGCACTGACAGCACCACTGCAGAGTGGCTAGATTTTTCAGTTAATTCTGAAAGTACCTCAACTCTGTACTGTGCATGCAGACCATAGTGGCTGAGGTTCCCTACCTGTCAGCCATGGAGAGGTCGCCCTATGGAGTAGGGAGGAACTACTTTCTGGGTGGTAGAAATATTCCCACACAGAACCCAGCTCACAGGCTGGGTGTGCAGCTCTTTCTCCTCTCTGCTGCCTAAGCCAGGAAATAACTCCAAAGACCTGGGTCAGTTCAGAAGGGACTGAAGAAAGCACATGTGAGGATACACCTATAAGGTACTACCTTCAGGAACCCTCTTCTGAGCCCAGGGCCTCCTCAGCATTTCTTGGAGTCTGCCAGGAAGCAACTTTCCTCCATGCATCCAAATGCCGAGGGAGCTAATCTCAGCTACAGAAATGACTTGTTCAAGGGCAGTATGGCAGCGTGGGATGATCTGCTCATCTAAGAAAACTGCCTCGATGGGAATTAACACAGGGAGGAGGAAACTTCCAAAGCCTTCTGCTGGGAAATCTTTGCCTTTAATGGGAGGCAGGATGGGGGTGGGGGAAGAACGAGGCGGGATGTGGTAACCAGATGTCATTTCACCTTTCACCACCAGCTTCCAGGATGCACGTAGGTGTGTCTGGCGTGGTCCTCGTCCCTGCCGGGGCTTCCTGGGGAGCTGTGGCTCAGACCTCTGGCTTCTGCCCCTCCTCACTCTCCAAACCCAACCTCGAGGTTCCCCCACCGCTGCGCACCCCGGGAAGCCCCTTCTCATCAGAAGCTCTCACCCCAATATCATTCTCTCCCTCCTCCTCCAACTCCTCCGAGCCCAGGTCCGACATGGTCTCGCCCCAGCCTGGATCCCAGCCGCAACGCCTCTAGCAGGTGGGTAGCAACCGCCTCCACCGCTGCGTCCTGCGTCGCCATGGAGACGCGGCCGGCCCCGCCTCCCTCCCGGCCGGGAAGATGGGGAGCTGGGACTGGCAAGGCGGACGGCGCGGGAGGAGCCACTGGCAGCCTTTGCGTACTGTCATAGCAACGGGAAGGGCGTCTCGACCAATCACCGCCCGGGAATAGAGAGGGGCGGGGCGGAAGGGACGAGGTGGAGCCAGTGGCAGCACTGGGGTGCCGTCATAGCAACGAGGGGCCGCCTTGGCCAATCACTGCTCGGGAAGGGAGGGGGGCGGGGACTGGGCAGGGCCTGGGCGGGTTCCGTGCGTGGCTGCCCACCGGGTCTCTGACCTGGACCTCGCTGTCGCTGGCCCCTGAAATCCATCACTTTAGTCGGCTGTTCTGTGACACCGCAACAAGGAGCCACCTGGGTACTGGGCCTTCAAGAGGAGGGACGCGGGAAGCGCGTCCGGGCCAACTCTCGAGTGGGTTTCACCCCTGCCCAGTGCGGGCACTGCACGCTCCCTTCCGTCCCCGGGCCTCGCAGGCCCCCCCGGGGGTGCTGCCCATCCCCACTTACTTTCTAGGCTCTTCGGACCCTTCGGGGTTCGCGGATCGCAGAGATGTGTCCGCCAAGATCTCTTCTTTGGTCCGTAAACAACTTCACTCTCAAGGAGGCAGCTCTGGCCTCTCAGCAGGTGCGGCCTACACTGATGTCCGTCCGGGTTTGACATCATTCCCCGACCCCGACAGGAGTACCAGCCCCCTCGGGCCTCTGACTCTCAGGGGTCCCGTAAGGATCTCCGCTCCTCTCCGCTCGCTCCTGGCTCCCCTCCACTCACACACACCCACAAAAATCACAGGCGCACACGCACGTACACGTGCAGGCTTGGCACTCTGCTTCACCTGACGCACTCCGCCTGCCCAAGGCCCCTCACGATCTCCCATTTCCTCTGCCATCATCCCAGACAAAAAGCTGTGTTATTTGTTGTTGCTGCAGGAGCTGGGGAGGAGTGACTGAATAACCACAGGATTTAGTCTTGATGGCAGAATCCCAGAAGCCAAATCCACGTGGTGAATAAGCTGCTGATCTTTCAGAGCACACATCCCCTGGAGAATCTTCCCAATGCTAATATGAAAGTTTACAACCATGACCCATCATCAGGCCCAAATATATTACTTACTGAATAAATACACAAGTTACAAGCAACACACAAGAATCCAAAATTATGTCGTTTTTTAGTTGCAAAGATAAAAATGTTGTAAACACCAAAATTTAACAGCTTTTCTTATGGGGAAAAGTGGGGAGTTAGGGATAATAAATGATTATTATTTTCTTCTCTACATATTGGCAATTTCCCAGTTACTACAATTGAGCATGTCTTATTTTTATAATAAAATGCCAAAAGTATTTTAAATGTTAAAAATGTAGAATGGTAACATAATCAAGTATATGCAAATAAACAGTCATTTTTTACATTTAAAATGTCAGAAATTCAACTTTCAAATTTGTCCTAACAATGACAGTAACCAATGTTTACTAAGTTCTGACACTGCATGTGGGCGCTGTTTTAAGAATTTTATGAGTTATCTTATTAAATCCTCACTATCATTTCTCCATTGTAAATCTAAGGAAAGGGAGTTATAGAGGGGTATAAACTAAAAATAACCTCCTAAACCCCACTACAGCCAACTGAATGGACCCCCTCTTGACCAAGGGGACCCCAGAAACCTTAAAAACTGAGTTATCAGCCATGATGGGAAGGGAGGTCAGAAATGCCTCACTAATACCCTTTTGCCGTTTAGACACAACAACTAACCAGCATTAATGTTAAACTAGAGATCATAAGACTGACAGAATGGACTCTGTGGCAGTAAGATACCAACTTATAAACAGGACCTAAGGCCATGCCAGGCATGAGTTAAGTCATGCACCCCTATACTTAAAAGAATAAACTATATTTTAACTACTTGGAAAAGGTCTTATGATTCATGTTTCACATTTTGTACTTGAGTAAAAAAATCTTACTGTGAATCTCTCAACTCTTATCATGAGTTCCTCAGACTGTTGATGTACTAATTAATACGTAACGACTGACACTGAAAAGGATACTGATTTGTTTCTAAATCATGACATTTCACTGATTGTCTTGTGCATACGCAGAAAACATTTTAGCCTGTATGTTGTCATCCGTAGCCATTGATTGTAACCTCTATATCGTCCCTCCAATGAAAAAAGACAACTCCAATATGAGGAGTCCCCTTCCCATTCCTCAACTTTCTTATAAAACCATTGCAACTTGTAACAGACTTTGGAACACACCCAACTTTGTTGCTGTGCCTTCCCCATTCAATCTTCAAATTTGACTTTCAATAAGCCTTTATCAATTTCTGCCTCAACAGCCTTAACTTTGGCCCACAGCAGTTAAGATCATTGCCCAAGATCATACAGCCAGTGGGATTCAAATCGAGCCATCAGACCCAAGAGCAACTGTTGCTCATCACTATACTGCCTCCCAGATCTGTGATAAAGAAATAACTAGTTTTCTGGCAGTGACTGTAAAGCATCTACCAAGCAGAGGACCACTGGTTCAAATGCCTTGGATTGCAAACACCAGGGAGTGGCTTAAGCAAACTACATGGTTAAGCAAACCCTGCTCTGGATCACATCCTTAGCAACTAGACATCTAGCTACAGCTATTAAATCCTAAGGTTTACAATTTGATCTCTATCCCATACAAATTTGCCAGGGTCTTCCCTCCCAAATCTTTCAATCTATAGTAATTTCACTACACTGTGGGTTTAGCAATTATCCAAATAATTGACAAAGGCAAGAAGGGGTGAACAACAGGATGGGCCTCCCAGCAACTCCTGCAGCAGCACCTGGACTGGATTCTAAATTCCTCTTTCCAGAAAGAAGCTGCACCCCAGCCCAGATTCAGCTGAAAGCCACAGCTGCCAAGAGGCAGTTGGAGCGCTGGGCACCTCTCTGCGCACCCAGGAAACCCAAGGAGGACTTCATCAAGCCAAGCGGATGCCTCACTCAGAGCCCCAGGATCCCTGACCCCTGACCCCACAGTGACCTGGAAATGCCGGGTAATGCCAGAAGCAGCGCTTTCCAATTCCGAAGGCCCTCAAAATGCTTGCTCAGCCCATCTTCCTCCTTTCCTGGGGCGTGGGAGTGGTGGGAAGATGAGAGGCAGAAAGACGAGGACATCATCAGAAGGTTTTTCCTTACTGGAAAATGAGAGGAAATCCTCTAACACCGCTTAAAAATCAAAAGGGGCTGCCCATCTTCCTCTGGCAGGGGTCTCCCATCATCCCCCGCGAGGCCTTCCCATTATCCCCTGCGGGGCTTTCCCATCATCCACAGAGGCCCTTCCCATAACCCCCAAGCGGAAAGTTCGTGCAAGTGCTGCTCTGCAGGGAGGAGCGAGGGCCGAGGGGAACGCCCTCAGGAGAGTGGAGAGCAGCAGTGGCCGCGGTTCCTCTGCACTTCGTTTCTTCAGTAAGAAATGATCTTCTTGTCCTTCTTACGTAGAAATGGAGCGATCCATTTCCTTTTACCCATTAACCCCTTCAAAAAGAAGAAAAACAGTCCCAGGCCGGCCATGGTTGATCTCTGCAGAGGGGCTGGTCAGGGTGCCTTCTGCTTCCTGGTGGGATGGCCAAGGCCAAGGAAACTGTTGAAACCACCCTGGGGCTGCCTTCTGTATTTTCCACAACCTTCCAGGCCCACCTCCCAGCTGGAGGCCCTGCAGCTTGGCAGTTGCCATGGCGACTGAGTCCCTAAGAGTGTCTCTTCTGAGCTCTCCTGGACAGTGTGGAGAAAAGGCCTTAAGAACTGAGGGGCTTCGGTAAAATGCAAACAGATTTTTTTTGAAGTTTTGTAGGCACTGTTCAGATAAAAAGCAGGGACTTTCAACAAAATGAGTTCAGGCCTATTTTAACTATAGAACTATGAGGTTGTTTATTAGAATAATTGTACTCTGGTAAATTTACCAATTTCATATATATGCATATTAATAAACAAATATATTAGCGTATATAGATAGAAAAAGTTCTATCTACATGTACAATTGAAAACTTTTTAAAACAGTGTTAGTAGTATCACATATTAGCATTTAGAGGATAGAGACAGACCCGGGATTGGAGCCCTAGCTCCATATACTTCTTTCTGAAGTCAGTCTACTCATCTGTAAAATGGGCTGTTGTGAGGTCAAAATTAGATATTCATAATGAGAGTAGCACAGTGCCTAGCACACAGTAAAGCACTTAGTAAATGGGAGCTATTACTATTAATTGTACTGTTGTTAATCTTATAATAGGTTAAGCACCTTTTGGCTATCAGTATGTTTGGGGGAGAATTTTAACTCGTTTGTCTTAATCGTTTTCAGTAGAGGTTTTTTCTTGAAAAGAATCAAACTGCCAAAGATGATTCAGTCAGATAGTTGTTTGTGACAATCAGAAGTTAGTCTGTGATGAACAGATTAGTTTTAATGCTCATGTTCATTAGCACTAATATACATAAGGGTGGGGAGAGACTGAAGCTTCTGGATATATATAAACAGGTAGATTCTTAAGTGTAAGTAGGTATTTGAACTGTTTGTGGATTATGTCTCATAAAGTTGGCACCCAGCAAGGAGGAAAATGCCAGATACACACACGCCCATACCTGAGGTATGTAGGTCAGTGGAAGGCTATTGAAACACAGCTGTCAAGAGAGAAATGTAAATTATTTTTCACCCAGGAAGTGAGATTATTCCGTAATGTATCATAACCAGTAGGGGAAATAGTTTAGTGGACACCTGTGTGGAGACAAGAGATGTCAGAAAATTGGATAGACTCAAATTTCACGTTGGGTAGCAACTCAAGGACATAGCTCAGTGCTTGGCACATAGTAAGTGCTCAACCAACACAGGTTTATCAAATTGAGTGTTAGATATTATCTTGCAACAGAGCTGTGCTTTATGCAGCATTAGGAAAAGAGAAAAAAGTGATGTGAATTTTTTTTTTCTTTTTCTTGTTTTTTTAATTCTTCTTAACACACTCCATTTTCCTAGGGGTTGCTCAG